CACTGCTATGCAGATGACACCCAGCTCTATCTGTCCATGAAGCCAGATAACACACACCAATGAGTTAAACTGCAGGAATGTCTTAAAGACAAAATAAATAATCTGACTTTCAGTGATCAACAGTTTCTGCAAAATCAACTTAAAGCTAACCTTCCAGCGGTGCCTTAAGTTGCCTTACAGAGGATAAGTTTAGTGCCCCGAGCTCACAGCTGCGATCTGGCCACCCTGAAACCACCGCTCTGATCGCTAGTGGCTGTGAGGGGAGACGAGTGGCTTTCCTCTCATTACTCATCAGCTGTGTTTGTCTGATTACAGATGCACCAGTCCAGGCTGCAGCTTATGCAGCTCCAGCAGCACGCTCAGGCCCAGGCTCAAGCCCAAGCTCAAGCCCAAGCCCAGGCTCAGGCCCAGGCTCAGGCCCAGGCCCAGTCCATCCAGCAGATGGTGCAGCAGCAGCAGGTCCAGGCTCAGACTCAGCCGGTTCAGATGCCTCCTCACTCCCAGCAGCAGCAGCAGCAGTCGGGCATGGTGTCTCAGTCTCTGGCCGGACAGATGCCATCCCAGCACGTCTCTCTGAACCAGCAGCAGCAGAGGCTGCAGGCCTTCCAGGTGAGACAGAACTGCAGGTTTGGTTCTGTAACTCCGACTGAATCACAGCCAGACAGTCGGTGTCTCAGCGTTCAAAGTCCAAATCGAGTCAGAGAAATTGTTTTTAAGATTGTAATTCATAACATAAGTTAGTTTCACTCAGTGCTGTCATTTAAAAAACTGGACGCCTGAAAAAGCAGCGAATCAGATTTTCAAAGTAAAACAGGAAGTCTGCCATGAAAATCCGACCAGAGGCTGTGATCAGTCTGCAGTTCCTGCTCCAGTGGTCTGAATTTTCTCAGTGCTCCCTTCCTCTGCTTGCATGCTTTGCTATGTGTGTGTGTGAGAACAGGCCCGTGCAGCCTTGCAGCAGCAGCAGGCAGCGCAGCAAGCTCAGCAGGCCGCAGCGCAAGCACAGCTCAACGCAGCCGCCGCTGCAGCCGCCATGCCGGGACAGGTGAGGACGCCGCCACAAACTCAGGTTCATCAGCTCTGAGTTATTTAGACGATCAGACAAACGGCAGGAGATTGTAGAGCAGGTGTCGGGAGTACGCTTCACGGCAGCAGAAACAGGAAACTCAAAATGACAGGTTCGCCTGCTCCGGGGCGACCGCTTCCTGTTAACTGTAGGTTAAACTGTCCACACCTGATATTCTCACTGCTCAAGTCACAAAGCTGAACCTGCAGGAACATCTGAGCTGGTCCTCACAGGTGTAGAAAGACGGAGGTCTCACCTGTCCTCTCTGCTCACCTGTGCTTTGTTTCTTCTGAAGCTGGTTCGTCCTGCGATGCAGATTCCAGCCCGGCTACCTCGAGCACCTCTGAACCCCATCCCTCCTCAAAACGCCACCACCGCTGCAGCTGGCGTGGTGGGAGTGCAGGCCATGACACCGCAGGTATTTATCCCCAGTGTGACCTCTGACCTTCACCTGCTCGTCCTCATGTTTCTTCAGTCTGAAGCAGCTTCATGAGGTGGAGACAGTTTCTAACGACCTCATGGAGCTGCTTCACGCACGCAAACATCGTGCCTTCCCCTCTGTGCTCTGATTGGCTAGTTTGTCTTTCCTTGTCTGTCCAATCACCTCGAGCAGATGTCATCGCCCTCACCGGTGCAGGTCCCGACTCCTCAGTCGATGCCGCCTCCTCCGCAGCCGTCACCCCAACCCCCGACCTCACAGCCCAACTCGGCCAGGTACGTCCAGTAAATAGACCACACCGCTGACCTTTCAGGACAGCAGTGGGTCAGCCAGTCGTCAGCCTCTGGCTGAGGCGAGTTCAGATTCACGTCTGCGTCTGGTCTCTGACCCGCTCGGTGTCACAGGACAGAATCGGCGCAGGTTACATGTCTGTCAGCGAGTCTAACTCCTTCTGGCTCCTCCCACAGCTCCGGTCCCACTCCGTCTCCGGGGGGTTTCCAGCCCAGCCCGTCTCCTCAGCCGTCGCCGAGCCCCGCCAACTCCAGAACCCCCCAGAACTACGGCGTGCCCTCCCCCGGGCCACTCAGTACTCCAGGTAACCCCACAAACATCTGGAAGGAACTTTTCACAGAGCTTAGAATAACGTGAACGCAGCAGCTCCGTCACGCTCGCTGACCACGCCGCTGAGCGGCACAGTCGTGTGCACCTCGATCACAGCTACACACACACTGAGGTCAGAGAAGGTGAAACACACGTCTGTTTTCCCTCCTCAGAGTTTCACCGGCTTTTATTGTGAAACTTTCAGTGAACCCGAGCTCGGTGATGAGTCCGGCGGGGCCCACGTCTCTGGAGGACCAGCAGTACATGGAGAAGCTCAAACAGCTCTCCAAGTACATCGAGCCGCTGCGCCGCATGATCAACAAGATCGACAAAAACGAAGGTGAGCCGCTCGCCTCGCTGACATCACAACCTCCTTCCGAGGCGCCACAGCACACACATGCACGGGTTCCCAAACTGAGGTTCGTGGAGTTCATCTTTGGTAATGGTACACTTGGAGATTTAAAGGATAACTCCTCTTCTTACTAAAGAAACGAAAGCACGATGATCATGACTGGAAGAGTCGGAAAGGAAAAATGTTCTGATAGGAAACATGAACAGGAAGACGATGTCGAGGTAGGAAGTGGAGGGGAAGCGACGAGCTCATGATTAGAAGGGCAGTCATGTGACACGAAGTGAGGAGAAGAAGAAACACATGATCGAGTCGTTCATGTTGATGATGTTCAAACACGAGTCCACTGCAAAGTCACAGAATCAGCAGATCGCTCGAAAGAAGGAAAACTTCTGCTCCTGAACAGGGATGCGTATCGTTTAGGTTTGATCCGGTGCCCGTCCTGAACGCGTCCACGCGTGGTTAAAGTTCAGCTGCTTTCTTCTGTGTTTTCAGACAGGAAGAAGGACCTGAGTAAGATGAAGAGCTTGCTGAACATCCTGACCGACCCCAGCACCAGGTGGGATTCATTCCTTTCAGGTTCGATTTGTGCGTGAAACAATCCAAACTCGGCTGACGTGGTTAGCCGCCTCCACCCAGAGCCTGCTCCGCGTCTTCGCATCAGACACTAGGAGTCCGGCGTTTTCCAGCTGTGGTCGCGTGATCACAGCTGGAAAACACAAACACTGTAGATATGGGAAGTGATGTCAGCCACGCCTCCAAGCTCACAGCTGAAGCTGCTGCTCCTCGCTACTCTTCCTGACCTCCTTTTCCTGACCTTTGACCTATAGGTGTCCCCTGAAGACGCTGCAGAAATGTGAGATTGCTTTGGAGAAGCTGAAGAACGACATGGCGGTGGTAAGGCGAGCGCCTCCTCTCATTTCTAATCTTCAGAGGGTCGACGCCAGTCTGAGCCTCTGTTTGTGTTTCCTGTCCTTTCAGCCGACGCCCCCTCCCCCGCCCGTGGCCACCAACAAACAGTACCTGTGTCAGCCGCTGCTGGACGCCGTCATGGCCAACATCCGCTCGCCCGTCTTCAACCACTCCCTCTACCGATCCTTCGCCCCCGCCATGAGTGCCATCCACGGACCACCCATCATGTAGGTACAACACACACACGTCGCGCTACACTTTACAGGTCAGAGGTCATATTCACAGCGTCGCGTCCTCCTCAGGGGGCCGAACATCTCCGGGCGCAAGAGGAAGCACGAGGACGACGAGCGGCAGACGATCCCCAACATCCTGCAGGGCGAGGTGGCGCGCCTCGACGTCAAGTTCCTCGTCAACCTCGACCCCTCGTACTGCAGCAACAACGGCACCGTGCACCTCATCTGCAAGCTGGGTGAGAACGCCGCCCCCCACTGCTCCACCCACTGCTCCGCCCACTTCAGATCACACAGTGAAACCTTATTGGTGTTTGATTTTTCTTTCAGACGATAAAAACCTTCCCAGCGTTCCTCCGCTGCAGCTCAGTGTTCCCGCCGATTATCCCGACCAGAGTCCGCACTGGGCCGACGACGGAGAGCAATACGGTAAGACACGCCGACCACCGCCATCTTTCATCACCCAATAGAGCCGCACATCCACAGAGACGTCCACAGGCTCAATAAAAGTATTAATAAACAAAATGCAGATAAATAGGTGAAAACACTCTTAAAAGCATAAATTCACAAAAGTCTAAATTAGAGCAGGAAATAAGAGCGTTTGTGAGGGGCAGCCAATCAGGATGCCACACAGAGGCGTGGCCTTGAAGAGGGAGGATAGAGTCAGAGTAGAAACGTTTCTATCAGATGGCCGTCGGACATTTAAAGTGTTTTTGTCTTCAAACTTAAATCTGGGAACGTGTGGTGATGACATCATCGACTGCGTGCGTTTCAGGTGCGAACAGCTTCCTGCAGACGGTTCACAGGAACATGACGTCCAAACTGCTGCAGCTGCCCGACAAACACTCTGTGACCGAGCTGCTCAACACCTGGGCTCGCAGCGTCCAGCAGGCCTGCCTGTCTGCAGCCTGAGACCCCGCCCACTGCTCACGGTGCATGCTGGGTAAGACCTGCAGATGGGCGTCATCAGAGCCGAAACCCATTACCGATTTCTCTGCTGCTCCTTGAATGCGTCATAAGTCTGTTTCTGTTAGTTTAAATAAAGTTTTAGTCCCTGTTTTGTATGACGTCTTTTTGTATTAAATAAAATGTGTTCACTTCAGTCCAATCAGCTGTTTTCTGTTTACCTGCTGCAGGTGTGAACACACACCTGTCAATAAGCCGTTTACTTCCTGTTCACTCACAGGTTCATCTGTGTCAGTGAAAGAGGCGGAGTTTCCAGCATGTGACTAATCAGAAACAAACCGGTGAACTGACAGCAGAGTGTGCGTGTGTGCTGTGTTAATAAAGTTTATCTAAAAGCTTTCGTAGGAGCGTCACAGCGCTGATTTCAGTTGGGAACACTTTCATGAGCGCACACCTGTGATCAGAACATCAAAGTTCAATTGTTCATCACAGGGTGGGCTCTTCGCTGGTTGGTTTAACCAATCAGAGCTCAGCTGGTGAAGAAGAGTGAAGCGTGGCGTGCTTTTATTTTCATGCGTTTATTCTTTAAAGAAGCTCACAGACAGCTGATACAAAACGCCCAAAAACAAATAAAAACATGGAAAATGAACAGACAGTTTATCGTGCGTGGGGTCTCATGAAGTTCGGAGTTCAGAATCTGAGGGAGAACGCTCTGTAGGACAGGTTGGTGAACACGTCGATACGGTCGCTGCTGCCGCCGACCGTCAGCACCTGAAACACACGACACGTTCACTAACACTGGGGGAAAAAACCTGACGTCGCTCTGTCTTCATTCACATCCTCTCTCTTCTGGCCACACCCCTTGCTGACTTTTAATGTGTAGGATGTTCCGGTTGTCTTCTCCAGCTTCAACCAATCAGCACTGAGCCACATTGTACTGTCCCGCCGTGTTTGCACACGCTCAGTTTGTCACGGCTCAGGTGTGATATGTGGACTTTTGAAATAGCGAAGTGTGAAACGCGTTAAACTTCACTCGTGAACCTGTCGTGTCATGTGACCTCCGTGTTTGCGTGAGGATGTGCGTGCTGCATTCAGGGTCTCACCCGGTGTTCGGTGCTGTTGTTGTTGAGCTGCAGCGTGTTCAGGCTCTGTGGCGTGCAGGGAATCTGAGCTTTGACCTCGCCGCCCAGCAGGCAGTGCGACACGAACGCACCTTCACCCACCGTTAGGATCTACAGGAAATGCATCACAGGAAGTGAACCAGAGCGAGCACCGGCACAGATGGACAAACACTGACTGAAGCGTCTTCCTCACCAAGTCCTGATGGAAGGTGGACTGTCGTTGGCACCCGCTCAGGTTAAAGATGGAGGTCGGTGACAGCGAGCGGAGGTGCCACAGAGACAGAGACGGTCCGCCGCCGCACAGCTGTGGGAACAGGAAGTCAGACATGTTCAGAATCTTACACATCTGGAATCTAAGGAAACATCTGTAAAAACAACAAACCTCAGAACAAGAACGAAGGAGAACGTTTCATCTCGCAGTTTACCGTCACCTGAACTCACCTGGAGTCCATCACCTGTTTCTAACACAACACGAGTCCTCACAGAGTCAGTCTGACTCAGAAATAAGACTTTCATCTTTAGAGGTTTTCACGGTTAAAGCTGTGAGCAAAGATCAAAGATGACATCATTTTCATCAAAGTGAACTTTGATGGAAGGAGGGGGAGGAGTCACAGCGTTGCGAGGAAACGTTTTCTCACCATCCAGTCGGAGTCGGTGGTCACGCAGCTGATCCATTTACCGTACTGAGGACGCGCACACACCTGAAACACACACACACACCTGTGTTTATCCTCAGATAAAGAGGAAGTGACATCATCACAGGAAGTCTGCGACGCTTTCCGGCACTCACCTCGTACTTGTAGACCTCGATGCAGTGAACACACTGACCCGTCCTGCTGTCTGCAACAGCAACACATCACCTTCATCATCACCTCCATCACCAAAATCCTCATCGTCACTAATATCACCATCATCCTCACTAGGGCTGGGCGATAAGGCCTAAAATCCATATTGCGGTATAATTTGAAGCATGTGCGGTAACGATATATAGGCGCAGCTTGATGAGATCATCAACATGCGCCATCACGGTAGAGCGGTATAGTCAAAACCCCACGTTGGCCAAATTCATATCGTTTCTACTGTATATTGTTTATACCGCCCACCCCTACTCCTCGCCACCATCTTCACCATCATCATCCTCCCGACAGCCCCATGTTTCCTGTGAACTCACCCCACAGCCTCACTGCTCCGTCCTCTCCCCCCGACAGGATCTCCGCCTCCCTCTCTCTTACAGTCACGCAATGGACGTAGTCCGAGTGACCCTGAAGCACCGTCTGAAGACAAAACACAAACCTGTCACCATGGAAACACAGAACTCCCCCAACAGACGCTGCCATGAAAATCAGATTGAAACAGTTCAGTGCACACACGGACGTCCAGGCATAAAACCTGCAGTTCCTCTGACATCCAGCAGAGGCTCCAGCAGTGAGTCGTTCCCCACAGACTCACACGTCAACAGCAGAAGTCAGCATTTACACACACACACACGACAGCGACGTGCTGTAAGGAGGAAACATGGAGTCAACGTTGTTCCCCACTCACCTTGAACACACCGTTTTCCAGGTCCATGACATGGATGTTGTTATCGCCTCCTCCAACCACCAGGCTGTTATCCTGACACACAAACACAACTCCTCATTACACGTCGGAGCGACACGTCCGACAGAAAGACAACTATCCTCATTATCATCGGAGAAAAGGCCCCGACTGCAGCTGCATCCCTTCTACAAACAAAAAATTAAATAACATTCAAAAAGAATGAAAAGAAGTCAGAATAATAAAAGGACCTCAATAAAACATCCAAAAACAAATAAAGGTTTAGTAAATGGGTGGCTCTGACGACGAGGAGGAGAATATTCTTCATACTGTCACAGGTTTGTGTTTTATTTCAGGTTCGAGTGTTTTCTGCTCGTAGAGGCGGGCCAGCTTTAACGCGATGAAGAGAAGCAGAGCAGACAGGTGGAGCTGTACTCACTCTGGGGTTGATGGTCATGGAGTTGATCTCTGGGATCTCCAGGCTGGATCTGTAAGGAGACAGCAGATGCGTGAGTGAGGAAGCAGACAGGAGGCAGACAGGAGGCAGACAGGAAGCAGACAGGAGGCAGACAGGAAGCAGACAGGAAGCAGACAGGAGGCAGGGGTGGAAGACTGGTTCTCACTTGTAGTTCGGTCTTCGGGTCCACAGAGGTTTGACGTTCTGAGGAAGCAGAGACACAAAAATCAGGCAAACTCGTTTTCCCTCTCCATCTATGTGTCCCTGAAGACGTTCCAGGTTACCTTCTTGGTGAGCTCGCTCCAGCTCCAGGCGCTGATCTCGCCATTTCCCGCGCTCAGCAGGTGGCAGTCAGTGGACAGAAGGGAAAAGACCGGTCCCTCATGAGCTGCAGGACAAAAAGACCAAAAAGGACTCTGTGAGGACAGTGTGTCCAACATCAACACGGACACAATAAACGGCCACTAAAGTCCCAATGAAACCAGAACTCGTCACAGGGCTGCAAATAAAAAAATCACAATAAAATGAGCCTCAAAAATATTGACTCACAAACACACCTGGAACTCCACCTGCAGGCTAAATCCAGAGTTTTGGTTTAAAATCAGCTGGAACCTTCACGTTTTCACTGATTCTTTATTTCCAGCGTGTTTTCAGCATGACGCAGATGTTTGTCACCAAACACACTGACGCTTTAGCGCCTCACAAGAGCGTCCAGTGTGACGGGAAACAGACAAATGTCTGGATCTATCAAACAAAAGGCTGGAAAGGTGAGTGTGTTTTCATGTGAGTGAGCTCAGACTTCCTGGGTTCTCATCACGTTGTTATTTTTTTATGCCACTGTTCGAGTCTGCAGGTGTAAAACACCAGCAGGTACACCTGTGACGCCCTCGCCATACTGCAGAGGCTCGGATGGTTTAGGGCGACCTTTGGCCCGAACACTCACCCGTGAAGGTCAGAACAGGTTTCTGGTTGAGCGCGGTGGCGTCTGGACTCAGAGCTGCAGACAAACTGAAAAAAACAGCAGTGACAAATAAGAGGTGTGGCCCTCGCAGCCGAGTCGAACCAGGTGCGTTTGACTCACCTGAACACTGCGATCTCGCCGTAGTTGTTTCCAGCTGCCAGGAAGCGGCCGCAGGGAGAGAAACTCTGAGAGAACACGGACATGTGCAGCAGCTGCAGACACAGACAGGTGCGTTAGTCCAAGCGCCACAACACAGGTGAGCAGCCACACCTGTGCAGGGACATCTGGACACTTAGTTACCACGTGCTGTAGGACATTCAGTCATGTGACGTCACCTTTATTCACCTGAGTGTAAATCAGCTTTAAATAAACAGTTTGTGAATGAACGTGCATGTCTCTATAAACAGATGACTCGGAACAAAGGTTGTTATTAATACTGATCACTTCCGGTCAGTAAATCTATCGCACATCACATTCACCTCAGCCTGAAACTTTTTAAAGACTCGAATTTAAATTCAGTGGAATTTTTAACGGAGTTTGTTTTCCGGTAAAACCTGGAACTAATCCGAGCTCGTTCACTTCTTTGTTTCTATCGTTCAGCACGAAGCTCGCTTTACTCTCAAACATCAGCCGGTTCCTCTATTTCCTGTTTCCGGTGAGATAAACGGAGCAAGCCTCACCTCCACGGGACCCATGCCGCTCCCACAAACACACCGAGCTCCTTTAAAACGAACAGGCACAAACACCCAAACAGAAGCAAAGGAACCAAAACTTAAACAGAGGAGGGAAAGAGCGGACCGGGGCGAGGGAATGTGACGTCACCAACACCAGCCCAGAGGATTCTGGGAGATGTAGTGTAGAAGCGGCAAGACGCTTCTTTTCCTCAGCGGCTCGTCCTCCTTCACTGCATCCACGAAGTTTCTCTGAGCTCTTCCTCTTCTCTTCCTGCCATCAGATTAATCATCATCCTCCCTCCTTCCTCCTGCAGATCACAGAGTCGCCTGCCTGGCCTCATCAGCCATCCCGTCGATCAGTACTGCAAAAAAGCAGGGGCTCAGAGCAGATCCCTGATGTACTCCCACCTCCACCTTCAGCCACCTCAGTGCTGTCCTCATACGTATGCTGCA